CATTACATTTTGTATGTCTTTTTGGATTCAGTATAGGTAAAATAATGCTCAGGATTTCAAAGCTGTATTCAGGAGTGAGATTGGCCCATGATTTTCTCTTTTTTCTACTATCCTTGTCTGGTTTTTGGTACCAAGATTCTGTTAGTCATGTAAAATATACCGAGGTTTCGTCTCCTTTACTCTTATTATGAAAGATTGGAATAATTGATACTTTGAGAGTTTGGTGGAATTCACCTATAAAACAGTCTTTATAGAAAAATTTTAAACTTTTAATTCAATTTATTTAAAGGAGTAAAAGACTATTGAGACTTTCTATTTTTTTCAAGCCACTTGTTGTAAGTTATTACTTGTCTAGGAATTTGCCCATTTCATTTAGGTTTTCAAATTCACTGACATGCACTTATTTATCATGTTGTCCCTATGATCTCCCTCATTAAATTTTCACCCCCGCCCAGCACAGTAGCTATTATCAACTCACCTTACAAATGAGGAAGCCGAGAGGAAACAGAGAGCCTTAGAGAGGGGAAGTCACTTAACAAAGGAGTAGAAAGTGACAGAACCAGGATTTAAATGCAGGTCTTTCTGAGTTGCAGAGAGGAGCCAGGCATGGGCAGGATCTGGACAGGCAGAGCTGGGAAAGGAAGGGCAGGCATGGGCGAGGGGGTAGCCAGTGCAGGTGAGCACACAGAGAAGTGTGATTGGGCAGGCAACTCTGGTGGGCAGTGGGGAGAGCGGGAAGTGGGGGCAGCATGGGCGCATGCCTTGCTGCTGAGTCCTCTGGAGAGACCCAGAGAAGCAGGATGCATGGGCACCACCCCCAGCCAGCTTGCTGACAGCTGGGGAGACATGGCCTAGGGAAGTCGGGGCCCAGACTCATTGCCATGGGGACGGTGGGAGCAATTCATGCTGCTGGAGTTTCAAAAGATGCGCCTTTGGGCTGAGGTGGCCAGGGTTTGGGCTGGGCTGGATGAGATGTGGCTGCTGGAGGAAGTGGGAACCACAGGCATGCCACAGGCTATGGCAGAGCTGTGGGCAGGAGCCTGGGGCCATGGGTCCATCTGGTCTTGTAGGACCATGCCCTGCGCTGGTCCAGCCTCCATTTCCTTGGTTGCTTTCCAAACAGAGGAGCCCAGATTTTGGTGCAAGGGAACAGAAAGCCGTGCTGATTTTGCTGCATCCTCAGCCTGTGAATTTCACGTGGGGACTTCTCATGCTGAGTAAATGGTGGCAGGCTGGCTGTGGGGAAGGTGGCTGGGATGTTCCCAGTGTGTGGGAATGGGCCCTCTGCTGTGTCTGAAATCCTGCCTGTGAAAACCCTCAACCCCTTCTGAGCCCTGTCCATCTGGAGCTCTTGACCCCTGTGGGTGCCTTTGGGTTCTGTCTGCCAAAAGGTTTGTTAAATAAGTGCTAGGTTCTTTTCCTCTACACAGATTCTCCCTTATCAGGAAGAAAGACACAGGAAAGTAGGGTAGCCATCAGGGCCCCAGAGTCCGATGGGCCTGGGTTCGAATCCTGGTGCTGCTGCTTAATGACCAAGTAACTCATCTCTTGTGGGTCCTGCTTTCCTCGTTTGGATAGGGGATGAGAGTCATGCTTACATAGTCTAAGGATTAAGTGACTTAAGTATCTTGCCAGGCCTATGAAAGCACTTGATATGTAAGATATTATTAGTTATTATTATAAGCTATGTTTCTTTAAAATTATTTCCTAATTGCACTAGGGAAGGAAAAGTCTGGAGTGTTCCTCGATCATGTAACTGGGGGCCTGTCTTCATCGGAGATAGATGGGAATCAGGGAAAGGGCTCATCTTTAAAGGTCTGAAGATTTTCATTTTCAGATGGCAAAACTGAGGCCAGAGAGGTCAAGTGACTTGACTCCAAATTTGAATTCGGGTCTCTCTGCTCCATACCCAGTGTTTTTTTCCCTCTGGGCCTCAACCCTTCCTCCCAAAACCTCAACTGTCTGTGGTTACTTGCTTAAGGTGTCCCACAATCATGATGGAACTGGGGAGCATCTGGAAGAAACCCTGGGGGACAACCTTGAAGCTAAGGGCTGCTCTCACCTTCCTTCCTCTCTTTCTCCAAGCTGGTCCTTGGGGTGGGGGTGGGGTGCAGGGGAGAGTGTATGTCTTGCATCCTACGAGGGAATTCATGCACGAGGAGAGCAGAGTCCAGTCTTCTCTGGGTCCAGGAAGGAGAAGAGCCTCTTAGAGACATTGTCGCTCATTACCCTGTTGTCTTCTGGTAGTCTTTGGTTTTTTGTTTTGTTTTGTTTTTAAGATTTTATTTACTTGAGAGAGACAGAGTGCTAGAGAGAGAGAGAGAGAGCATGAGGAGGGGATAGGGGAGTAGAGGGAGAGGGAGAAGGAGACTCGCCACCAAGCAAGGAGCCAGACACAGGGCTGAATCCCAGGACCCCAGGGTCATGGCTTGAGCTGAAGGCAGATGCCTAACTGACTGAGCCACCCAGGGACCCCTTCTGGTGGTCTTTGTAGAATGTCTTATGTCCTTCTTGGGCTCAGGCAGAAGCCCAGCATTTGGCTTTGGCCTCTTTCCCATCAGGACCCCAACCAGGTGGGATTTTCTCGTCTTTAGCCATTGCAAGCTGATCCGTATGTGGCTATGAGTATGCCTCAGGGCTGACCCTTCACATCCCCAGGGATGGGCTGTTGGACTCCCAAAACGCTCCTTTGCCCCTTTCTCCACCTGGAGAGCCCTCAGGGAGGGCTCCCACCCAGGGAGCTGTCAGCATGGCTTCCAGAGAGAGCCCTGGGACCCCTCTGTCTCCCAGTGTGTCGAGCCAGCTGATAGCCTTTGTCGTGAAATGCTGGTGCTTGTGTTTGTTGTAGATGCTCTTTTGCATCTACATGTTGCATCCGATGTTGTCGGATCTTGCAGTCGAGACAGGCCGAGAAAGGAAGGCTGCCTCTGGCCAGCCAACTGCCCTGGCTTTCTGGGACTAGTTGTGTCCACAGCCCCGGCTGTAGGTGCTCACTATGTGCCGGGCACAGGACTGGGTGTTTTATACGCACTATCTTATTTAATATTTGTATCATCGGCTGGGAGAGTAAGTTTTTGTCTTCCCTTGACACACGAAGAAGGCGGTTTAGGGAGAGTAAGTAGAATCCCCAGGGTCGCGTGTGGAGCTGGGATTTGATCTCAGGCCTGTCTGACTCCAGAGCATGTGTCTTAATCACCATGATCATCCCTGTGTTCCCCTGAGGACGTTTCCCGAAACAAACAAAGAAAGCTGTCGGTGGTGAGAGATGGTGGTGAAACGTGGCTGTTTCTGCTCATCTCTTGGAGAGTGGAAATGCACACTAATTTATAGGAAGCCCTGGGAGGTTTTATAGGGAAAAAACAGACTTCTTTTCCTTTCCACCAGAATTTCACAGATTCCTTTAAAACCGAGAACCCCTCTTCATCCTCCTCCTTGTCTCCTTTTTAATGGAGTAGCACTTAGAAATCTGCCACGATCGGTGTTTTCTGGAATGCACTTTTGCAACCACTGCGTTAGGCAAGTCTCTTTTTTGGGCCTCATTTTTTCCATCTGATGAATTAAGGGCTTGGGGAATCTGCCCACAATGGTGTAACCGACATGTAACCAGCATGCCCTCCAGCTGTTAGTAACTAGAAAATCTGGATCAGATGGGAAGGAATTGTCTTCAGACGTTGGGTGACCAGTAGCTCTGGACTGATTCCCCAGAGAAGAGAAGCAGGTGGGGTGGGCTGCGCCATCACACTGCCTGTCTGCCTCGAGGCAGTTTTCAAACTGTGGCACAGGGAACCCAAGCAGGGTATGGAAGTCCCCCCTGATTTGAAGAGCCACGGCTTGGAGTTTGGGGGAGTTGAGCAGTGCAGGAGTCTGTCCTGGTGTCATGAAACCATTCTGTCAGCCATGAGTAGGAATCAGAGGCCAGGCGCTGGAGAAGGTTCCCTAAGAAGGCTCATTCTGGCTAAGATGTGAAGGATGGGTGGGAGTTCAGCAGGCAGAAACAGAAGGAGAAGGGTGTTGGAGGTGGTAGGAAGGGAAGGGGCTGGAACCTGGGCCCCACTGGGGGTTTCCCACCTGCCCCTGCCAGCTTGGACCTGGGCAGAGAAGAGCCACGAGAAATGGGGAGGGCTGACCTTGACTGAGCCCCCGCATTGTACCCAGGACAGGAGGAGAGAAATGAGTGTTAAATGTATGAGGGCGAGTGTCCAGAGGTGGGTGTGACTGAGCCGGGCACTTTGCTCAGTCCTGGGGCCTGAGCTGGGGGACCAGGGTGGGATGTCCTTGGGGATGCTGACCAGAAGAGCGGGGAGCAGGTGGGTCTGGAGGGAGGGGATAGTTTTCCCAGGGTGTGTGTGTATGTGTGTGTGTGTGTGTGTGTGTGTGTGAGTGTGTCTGTGAGTGCGTGTGAGTGTCACTGTGAACCTCTCGACCTGTTCTCCAGTTGGCTGAGGCCACCGCCCAGGCTGACAATGGAAATGCTGGCGCAGGAGAAAAGCTGCTATTCAGGTGTCTCCCGTTAATCTGTGGAGGGGGTGGCAGCAGCAGCTAATTTCGGGATTTGCTTGTCTTTGAATGGGGGTAATTACTGGGAGTTGCCAATTGTTCCAGATTGTTCTCTGGAAGAGAGGGAGAAGAGGGGGGCTCTCCCGGGCTCTGCTGAGCGCTGCCCCCTGCAGGCAGTTCAGGGAAGTCACAGAGGGGTGGTCCAGGCTGGGGAGGAACAGTAGTCAGGGGACCCCAGGATCACAGCAGGGCCAGAAGGGCTGGGCCAGAAGGGCCCTCAGAGGCCATGTGACCCAGCCTGCTCATGTTACAGACGGAGAAACAAATGCAGACAGGAAGGGACTTGCCCTGGGGCGCACAGGGTGGGCCCAGCCAGGCTGCTTGGCTCCAGGAACCACATCCGCATTGGCCATGCACCCCTCCCCCACCCTGAGTCCAAATGGGGCACCCCAGGCAAGGGGGTAGTGTGCGTCAGGAACCTCCTTTCCTCTCTCTGACTGCAGGAGACCAGCGCAGCAGTGGGGTCACCGAGGCCAGCAGCCTGCTGGGGGGCTCCCCGCGGCGTCCCTGTGGCCGGAAAGGCTCCCCATACCACACGGGACAGCTGCACCCTGCGGTGCGTGTGGCCGACCTCCTGCAGCACATCAACCAGATGAAGACAGCGGAGGGCTATGGCTTCAAGCAGGAGTACGAGGTGCGGGGTCCCCGGCCAGCCAGGATGCCTTGCCGGGGCCCTGCCTAGCTCTTGCTCGCTGTGGACCCAGACCCTGGCAACCCTCAGCCTCGCCCTGGATGGACCTTTGCTCTGATAGTCCCTAATTCAACCTAATTTTTTTTTTTTTTACCTTGACCTTGACCCCAATCTCGGACTGACCTGGTTTCTGACCTCGTCCTGATCGTGACTTGAAATCTGACCTCCAGTCTTCTCTCAGTCTCCATCTGGACCCTGATTATGATCCTCATCCTCTCCCTAATATGACTCTGACCACCAAGAGGGGCCCTGACCTCTAACCTAACACCCAATCTTGACTTTGACCCTAACTATCATCCTAAATTCCACTGGAACTCTGATTCGAATCCCATTCTCCCTCCACCTGGACTCTGACACCACCTTATTCTAATCTTAATTTGACCTCACTTTTGCTTCTTCCCAACTCAAACCCCTTACGTGTACATTAAACCTGACCCTTGCTCTGAAGTGTCTGTGAACTCTGATACCCGCCCCCCACTCTTCTCTCTTCCCTCCCTTCACGCTGCTTGGTTTTTAACTTAGTCCCTTGCTGATAAAGGGATATGCAGTGACTTGATCTCAGGCTCCAAGTTGAACCCTGCATCTGGCCCTTATCTGTGGTCCCTCTCCCATCCTGTTATGGGATGGGGTCTTATGAGGGGAGCGGTTTCCCTCCCCCACTGACTATCCCTCTATTTTCCCTTCTGGCAGAGCTTCTTTGAAGGCTGGGATGCCACAAAGAAGAAAGACAAGGTCAAGGGCAGCTGGCAAGAGCCCGTGCCTGCCTGTGAGTCTTGGGGAAGGGCCTGGGTCAGGGGCCGTGGGTGGGAGGGACCTGGGTGGGGGTGGAGAACAGCCCGAGTGAGCCACTTACTGAGGGCCTCCCACATGCCAAGCCATGTGCTGAATATTACACCCATTATTTTACATACTTCTCAGTAGCCCAGTGATGTGGCACATCTTATAACCCCCACTTTACAGATAAGGAAACTGAAGCTTGGGAGGTTAAGCTCCCTGTTCAAAGTCACACAGCTAATACTTGCCTGAGTAGCACATGACCTTGGGCCCCCTTGGTGCCGCAGCCCAGGTTCTAACCCCTGGCCTGTCGTGCCCCCTCCGGGACTGAGAGCCTCCTGGTCAGCCCCGAGCCTCGAGGTTCCTTGGCTCTCCTGCCTTCTGGAAGCTTCCCCTCATTGCCCTAGCTCTGCATTCCCCTGCTCAGTCCCTGCCCACCCCATGGCCCCCTGCTTTGTGTTTCCAGATGATCGGCACCGAGTGAAACTGCCCCCGATGATGGGAGGCCCCGATGCCGACTCCATTAACGCCAACTACATAGACGTGAGTGCCTCGCTGTCATCTCCACTGGCCTGGCCCTGCCCATTCTAGGCTCACTGCCCAGGCAGGCCAGCGACCTGGCAGGGAATATGTGGGGGTTCACAGTGTCCCCTCCTCCTGCAGTCAGTGCCAGGGAGCTCAGAGGAGGGGAGGGCAGACGAAAGCCATCAGGAAAACTTCCTGCTGGGTGGACAGATGGGGGCACTTCCATGAAGCAGAAAGAAGGGGAGTGGGCAGACAGCTAGGCCTGGAGTTGAGGAAGGAGCCCCTCTCACCAAGAGACGGAGTCTTGGAGCTGGGATTCGCATGACTCACGGGAAGGCTGCAGGCAGGCAGGGGCTGGGTGGTGAAGGCCTCAGAAGGCAGGCCGAGGAGGTGGGGCTTTTCCCTAGGGGTCCCATGGAGTTGCTGCCTTTGGACTGCGATCAGAGTGGTACTTGAAGAATAACAACCCATGTTTATGGAGCAGGTACTGGGTGCCAAGCACTGTGCTAAGCACTTTATATCAAATATTTCATTTCTATAATCCCTGAAATCATGCCACGAGGTAGTTAGCATCGCGATCTCACTTTATAGGTGAGGAAACAGACTCAGGGAGGTGGAGCTACTCGTCCAAGGTCACAGAGCTAGTGCTTGGGGGAAAAGGGACTCAGATCTCGGCCTGTCTGTGTCTCCCAAGCCTTTGCTACCAGCCATGAGGCTCTCCTGCCATCCAGTGCAGCAGCTGCTGGTCTGGCTGGACCAGAGGAAGGGGCTAGGGCCAGGGCAGGGCAGCCAGGAGGCCCGTGCAGATGTGGTGAGTCTGCTCCCCAGGTGTGAATGAGGGCGAGATGGGACAGGGCCCAGGGACCCTGGGCAGACTCTCCCACCCTGACATCAAGCCAAGATTGGGAGAGAATCATTTATTCGTTTATCAGATCTATTTCGGGCATCTACCATGTGCCAGGAGTTGTGCTGGGCACCAGAGATAGACACCATCCCTGCTTTCCTTGCATGTGTAGCTTCTAGTGGGGGAGACACATGAACGTATTTATAGGTAAAACCATTTCAGATGAGCTGGGAAAGTACAGGCCAGAAGCGAGGACTGACTTTCCCAGGGTCACACAGCAAGTGAGTGGTATGGCCAGAGTTAGCCGTGGCAGGCTGCATGGAGGCGGGGGCTTTGAGCTGCCTTTGGGTGACTGGAGAGGAAAGGGTGGGAGTAGGGAGCAGCAGGAGTGAAGGGAGAGGAAGATGTGTACCTGGGAGGTGGGACAGTCAGGGACTCGGGAGACCTCTCCTGTCCCTCTTTACCTCCGGGGGCCAGAAAGATACGCTGCCCCCTATTTTCCGGAATTCCTTGCCTTCTCCCCTACCTCCCATGCTCTCCCTTGACTGGGATACGGGCTGGGCCTGGCCTCTTAGACTTTGGTGACGGGCCCCTTCTGGGTCTCTTCAGTGTCCCCGTGGGCCCCGCGGCAGACTCACGCCACTCCCCGCTCTCCGGCCCAGCCCGGCCCCCATCTCTGCTCTGCCTCCCCTCCTCACACTGCCCATCCTGGCCACTCCTGTGCTCCGTCCACCTCCATCTGCCTCTGGCCTAATTTCTGTCTCTTTTGCTTTGTACTGTTCCCTCACTGGCCTCATTAAGATTCGGATAAACCGTGAAGTAAGTATCTCTCTCCCCGTCTCCTCCTCCTCCTGACTTCTCACCAGCGGTATCTCAGACTCTCTCATGGTCTTTGGCTGTCTTTCTCTCTCTGTCTCTGTCCTCCTTCCCTTCCACTCCTGCACCCAAAGCCTACTGTCCATTTCAGCAGCCTGGCCAGGGGCCATCTGGGGCTGCAGATCTGACACTACCCCTGTTGTAAACGATTCCTTCCCCTCCCCGAGATGGGGCATCAGGGTTGGGGTGCTTCCCCAGGCCCCCTTCACTGGCTACTACCTTCTGTCACCTTTGTCCCCCAGCTCCCCATGCCCAGTAAGTCTCACTAGCCATACCTTCTGTGGGGCTCTGGGAGGGGTGGGCTGGGAAGCTGCTCAGGGTGCCCTGTCTTCTGCTGCTTGGGAGTCAGGGTCTTCAGGGAAGCAAGGGTGGCCCCGCCAGTCCTCTTAAAACTAGTTTCTCTGGCGTTCAAGTTCCTTCGTGGTCAGTTTGCTTAAAACTCAACCCTAACTACTTTGCCCTCAATTTAGCCCTACTTTGAATGTTTTATTTTTGGGGAGCAGTTTTTCTATTCTATTTTTAAAAATTGTGCCATTGCTGGGCCTTCTAGGAATATTTTTTAAAAAGTCCTATTCATCTAATGCACCTTTAATTTGGTTTTTAATGTACATTCCACCTTTGAACACCATGGGTTTGAACTGCACTAGTCCACTTTCTTGTGGATTTTTAAAAAATAAATAATTTTTAAAAATTTATTAAATTTTTAAGAAATTTGTATTTATTTACATTTTATTTATTTTTATTTATAAATTATAAATGTATTTTCTCTTATGATTTTCTTAATAATATTTTCTTTTCTCTAGCTCACTTTGTTATGAGAATAGAGTATATAATACCATATAACATACAAAATATGTGTTACTGGACTATTCATGTTCTCAATAAGGCCTCCAGTCAGCCATGCTATTAGTAGTTAAGTTTTTGGGGAGTCAAAAGTTATGTGTAGATTATCAAACTTCCCCAGGAGGTCAGCGCCCCAAAGCCCCATATTGTTCAAGGGTGAATTGCATATTCTTTTTATAATATTGGATGCCTGATGGGATTGTGTGCTATTTCGTGGGTACCTTTCTATTTTATGTCCTTTAAAAAATATTTCTTATTTTTTAAAGATTGCAAAAGTACAGTTCATTATCAAACCTTCCGACAATACAGAAATACACACATTTCTGTCTATACAAAGTGAAAGGTACTCACAGTCGTAGCTGCTGGAGACGACCGGTTATCTCAGATGTGCTCCCAGAGATCAACCCCCCTTATTCTGAGTGTGCTTCAAGAGTTTGTAAAGTTCCCAGATTTAGATGGAATAGGCCCATGAAATGGATGGATATACTCAGCCCTAGCGCCCCCATGAGAAGGTGACGAATACAGGTACATTTCTTTCCATTAGTCTCCGTATAACACATCATCCCACCTGCTTGGTTCATTGTCCACACTCTTCAGTAGCCACAGAAGACTTGGCTTTAATCCGTCTTCAAATGCCAGTTAGCAAGAGTGTCATTGGCTGGGCACCCGGTGCTGTGCCAACACGTTAGGCACATCATTTCATCTTTCCCATACTCTGAGAGGTAGGGACTGGCGTTTGTCAGACGAGATGACAGAGCCTTAGGAAAGTTCAATGACTTGCTCATGGCCGCATTGAGCTGGGCCTCAAGCCCCATGGGAGCCCTTGACCCTCCTACTAGACTCTGGTTCTCTCCCTGGGGTGGGGAGCACCAGGAGGCCCTGGGGTGCTTGTCCAGGATGCAAGGTGTCAGTCCCCCAGCACCACCCAACCAGAGGCTCCAGGCAGGCATGGGGGTGTGCCCTAGGAGCAGGGTGCCCAGGATTTGCCGATGCCTGGGGTGGTGAGGACCAGTGCGCTCTCAGACGCTCTCGGGTGCTCCAAAGTGGGTGTGCTCAAGGCGATCGATCTGCTTACCTTTCTTGCACCCCTGATCATTTCATACTTTCCATTGTAGTGCTCTCTAATTGTGCAGGCACACACCTATGCTTGAAGAAGTTAATATGCAGATGGGGGGTGGGTTTTGTTGAAAACTTGCTCAGCTGTGGACTGTATTTGCAGGCTGTCCTGGGTGCTGGCCCCGGGAGATGCTTGTTGAATCTGGAGAGATGCTTGTTCTTAGGCGGGGATGCTCAGGCCAGCTGGTTTTGGGTGGAGTAGCCTGTTCCCAGCTTGACCAGTGCTGGAGGTGGGAGGGCTGCCCTGGCAGCACCTTTGCTGCCCTTTCCCTGGGACCCCATGTGCCCAGCAGCTTGACTGTGGACTTGAGGCAGAGGCAGTGGCTGGGGAGGTCGGCCAGCTGCGGAGCAGTTCCACCAGTGAGGACCCAGTGGCTCTGGGACCCTCTTCACTGCTGGTGACTGGAACTGGGTTTTGGACACAGTTTGCGGGTACACAGCAGACTCTCTGAGGTATGTGGGTCTCACTGTTATCCCCACACTGCAGCAGGGAGCAGAGGCTCTGGGAGACTGAGTCTAGCCAGTCCAGTGTGTTTTCAGATCCAGCACTGGTCCCACCTGGGAGCTGGTTGGAAAGGTGCAATCCTGGGCCCTGTGCCAGAGTCTGAGTCTGAATCTGCCTTTTAACAAAATCCTTGGGAGCTGCGGGTGTCCATTAAAGACTTCGGAGTGCCCTTTCCATGGCCAGAGTCACTTAGCATCTCTGTAGAGCTGTGATAGGAACCCACATCCACCTGACTCCCCGGCCTCAGATTCTTAACCCCTGGGGTAAACCACCCTCTGCCCTGGGAATTCTTGACAGCCATACTGTTGGAGTCTTCGGGGCTTCTCTTTGAACTTGAAAGTAGTAGCAGTAATACTAGGTACTGTTGGTCAGGTGCCGACTCTGCTGGCTGTGGTGACAGACCCTTGATGGTATGTTACTTTGCTGACTCCTCACAACGGCCCGGGGAGGTAAATACAGTGATTGTTCCCATTAGATGTGAAAATCGAGGCCTAGAGAAATGAAGGGATTTGCCTGGGGAAACACAGCTAGCAAGAGGTCGAGCTGGGACTTGAACCCTGGCAGTCTGACTGCGGGGCTCCTTCGGGTCCCAAGGCACAGGGAGCTGGGCTGCGGGCGTGAACCTGATTGTTCTCCCTTGCATCAATGCTGCCGCACCTTTAACTTCTGCCGTGGTGCCCACAGGGGTGCCCTGGGTGTCACGTGCGGGCAGGACAGCAGGCTGGCTGTGACCCTGGGGTGGGAGTTGGGGCTGGCTGGGTCCTCTTCACAGTCTGAGGCCTCTGGGGATGGAGGATGAAGTAGCTCTTGACCCCTCTTTTGTGGGAGATCGTATAAGTAAAGTGCTTAGCACAGTATGTGATCATAATAGGGATCCTAATTGAGGTCACAGTCTCAAAAATGATTATTATTTAAAAACCATTTTATCTGAGGGCCACGAGAAACCCATGTATTTGCTTGCTTCAGACCTGAAGCCTTCATCTGGGTCACTGGGTCCCCCAAGCTCTGGATGACATGCAGTGGGGAGGGGGCACTGCTCCCCCTCCCCAATTGCCCCGTGGGGGCTGGGATGACTGATGAGACCCAGCCTGGGGTCTGGGGACACCCTGAGAACCCGGGCAGGATCACCCTGGACTTTATTTGTATCCACACAGTTGGGCTGTAAGCTGACTGTGGCTAATCCCCCCAGTTTATTGAGGGGCGACTCTTTAGGCGATATAGAAGTTGTGTCTTCTGTGGGGTCACACAGTAAAGATGGGTTTGGACCCAAGACACTGGTGTCCCAGCTGTTCTTTCTCTTCCATCCTTCCTGGGGGACTGGGAGGACAAGGTCCCCTTGGTTAGGAGGTCCTGTGTGTGCTGCTCCTGGGAAAGGGCAGAGGAGATGAGAGCAGAGGGAGCGAGGGGTTGCTCCTGGGGTCTCACCACAGCCTCTTCTCCTGTTCTAGGGTTACCACAGGTCAAACCACTTCATAGCCACTCAAGGTACCTGCTGCTCTGCCCATGTGCGCCCGCGTGCTGAATGCCGTCTCCCTTCTGCCTTCCTTCTGACCTGCTTGACTCCCCGTGTGCCTCCCTGCTGTCTCTCTGCTCGAGTCCCACTGTCTGGCTGGGGCTTCTGGAATCTGCCCACCAGTCTCTGCCCCTCGTCGTGTTCCGTGCTCGTGTCTCCCTGGTGTGCTCCGTGTGCCTGTAGTTCCCTCGGCCATCTGTCTGTCCCTGAGGTGGTTCGTGCAGAAGGGTAGGCGGGCTCAGTCCTGCCAAGTGTGGATTGTGCCTCCGGGTCTGGGGGCTGCCTGGGTCCCTCTGGCTGTCTTGGCCCCCAGCTGTTCATCTGTTTGTTCCTCTGGGACACTGATGCTGTAGACTGAGGATCAAGTTCCCCAGCTCTGCCTCCCGGGTTTCATTTGGGATAATGGGTCTCCAGCCATCCTTCTCTGAGCCTACCCACCCCCGGGGCCCTCTAGGGACGAGCTGGCATTGGGTGGGGTGAGTGTGTGGGGTGAGCATGACGCCTTCATCGGGGCTCAGGAGCCTCCTGGCCTGGGGTGGGGGTGTGGGGCAGCAGGTGTGCTGGCTCTGGGTGCAGACCTTGCCACAGGGACTAGCACCCTCTGCGCCCCAGGGCCGAAGCCTGAGATGGTCTACGACTTCTGGCGCATGGTGTGGCAGGAGCACTGTTCCAGCATTGTCATGATCACCAAGCTGGTGGAGGTGGGCAGGGTAAGCAGGGCCTTGGGGTGAGGGGTAAGGTGGGCCAAGGGAGGGCAGCAGAGGGCCTGCTGAGCCTGCCTGTGGGGACCCCAGGTGAAATGCTCCCGGTACTGGCCGGAGGACTCAGACATGTACGGGGACATCAAGATCACGCTGGTGAAAACGGAGACACTGGCTGAGTATGTCGTGCGCACCTTTGCCCTGGAGCGGGTGAGTCTGCTGTCACTTTGGTCCCTGCAGGGGTGCCTGAAGGGGTGGGGCAGAGTATGCCTCCCGACCTCCCAGGGCAGGAGCAGGCGGGGCGAGGAGGGCTCCGCTGTCCTCACCAGCAAGGCAGCTGCTCCTTCGCTGTAGGGAGTGCTGTGGGAGGACAGGACGGGGACTGCCTTGGCTGGTGACTCCCAGAGGACGTCGAGATGATGGCGGTGAAGACAGTGGCTGGTGATGCCTGTCCTGCTCGGTGCCGGGCATTGTGCAGAGCCTGTGGCACATGTTGGTTAAGCCCCGGGAGACGCTGGCATTTGGCATTTCCGTTAGTCCCATAGTACAAATAAAGTGAGGTGGCGTGCTGGCGTCACGCACGAGGCCACATGGCCAGCGACTGGCCGAGTCCTCGTGTCTGTGGTCCCATTTGATCCTCCGTAAAAGTTCTCAAGGGAGACACTTTCCCTTATAGGCTAAGACCAGAGAGTCCTGGTGCTCTCCTGGGTGGCACAGCCCTGGGTCCCACTCCTGGGTAGTGTTTGTCTTGTCGACCCTCGGGCCCGCAGTTTCTCCTGTCTGCGGGTTTCTCGCGGGCACCATGCGTCCCGAACGCCCATACCTCCGTTTATGATTGGGACTCATTGAGCGAGATCCTGCGGTAAGATGCTCGCTGTGGCGGCTGGACACCTGGCAGGTGTCTGGGGGGCGCCCGCAGTGACTGTGACTGTCTCCGCAGAGAGGCTACTCTGCCCGGCACGAGGTCCGCCAGTTCCACTTCACCGCGTGGCCGGAGCATGGCGTCCCCTACCACGCCACGGGGCTGCTGGCCTTCATCCGGCGCGTGAAGGCCTCTACCCCGCCTGACGCTGGGCCTATTGTCATCCATTGCAGGTGGGGTGCCGCAAGTGCCAAGGACAAGGGGTCTGGGTGCGGGATTGGTTGTGGGTCCCCTAAGGAGAGGGGGCTTGGGTTCATCTACTCAGAGACAGAGGACTGGAGACGCTGACCCCCCAGTGGCCATTCGAGCTGTGGCTCGAGGTTGGCACCCATGTGTGTTGCCAGAGACCCGTGGGGGCCCTGGGCCTGGAGGCAGAGGGGGTGAGGGGCTGGTGAGGCTCGAGGTGGGTTGGGTTTCATTTACTTGCACTGCACACCTGCGTGCTGGGTTTGGCCCACGTGCTGGGAAGGGCTTCAGCTTCCCTTCTCTGAATCCCGAGGGCTTTCCTCACTGCGTGGCCTTTGTGCCCCGTGCCGCTCCTGACCATCATCCCTTTCTCTTCCAAGTCCTGCCTCAGTTGGCCCCTGTGACCCCACTTGTCCTTCCTCTGCTCTGCTTCCTCCCTGGCTCCCCAGCTTTCTCATGCCTCTGAAGGGCCCTGTCCTGTGCCTGCCCCCACTCTCCTCCTGGGGAGCTTCCCTCTGACCTTGGGGTTTCACCTACTCCCCTGGGCCCACAAGTCCTTGGCCTCTGTACCTGCTCCTGGCTTCTCTGCTTGATTCCTCCCAGCTTCCAGAGCGCCACAGAGCAGACCCCCTCCTTCCTCGCCCGCCCTTCACATACCACTTTTGTCTCTTTAGGCTTCTTTAAGATACCATCTTTGTTTATTTTTATTTTTTATTTTTTTATTTTTTTAGATTATTTATTTATTTATTTGACAGACAGAAATCAGAAGTAGGCAGAGAGGCAGGCAGAGAGAGAGGAGGAAGCAGTCTCCCCGCTGAGCAGAGAGTCTGATGCGGGGCTCGATCCCAGGACCCTGGGATCATGACCTGAGCCGAAGGCAGAGGCTTTAACCCACTGAGCCACCCAGGTGCCCCTGTTTATTTTTATTTCTTAATAAAGATTTTATTTATTTATTTATTTATTTGAGAGAGAGAGAGAGATTGAGCGTGAGCGTGCACAAGCAGGGGGAGTGGCAGAGGGAGAGGGAGAAGCAGGCGTCCCACCGAGCAGGGAGCCCGACATGGGACTTGATCCCAGGACCCTGGGATCATGACCTGAGCCGAAGGCAGATGCTTAACCACCTGAGCCACCCAGGTGCCCCTAAGATATGGTCTTTAAAATAAGGTTTCAGGGCACCTGGGTGGCTCAGTGGGTTAAAGCCTCTACCTTCAGCTCAGGTCACGGTCCCAGAGTCCTGGGATGGAGACCCGCATTGGGCTCTCTGCTCAGCAGGGAGCCTGCTTCCTCCTCTCTCTCTGCCTGCCTACTTGTGATCCATGTCTGTCAAATAAATAAATAAATAAAATCTTTAAAAAATGAAATAAAATAAAATAAGATTTCATTGAGATATAACATACTTAAAGCAAAGTGCCCACAGAATAAGTATATGCGGAGCTTTACTGGTGTTCGTAAATTAAACACACCTGTGAAATAACCAGCACTGCTCTCAGATCAAGAAATAGAACATTAACAGCATCCAGAAGCCCCTGGGAGACACCTTCTGGGCTGTGCCCACCTCCTCGCTCTTGACTTCTAATGTGTGAATTCATTTTGTGTGTTTTTGAACTTCGTATAAATGAAATCACACAGCGTGTGCTTTTGGGTGTGTGACTTCTTCCCCTCCAGCTTATGTTTCTAAGATTCATCCATGTTATATCCTGTCCTCCTGGATGAGTAAACCACAGTGTGTTTACCCATTCTGCGATGGCTAGGTATTTGGGCTGTGTCCTGTTGTGAACTGGTACGAATACAGCTGCTGAGAACGTTCTAAGGCGTGCCTTTGGGCCAGCATATGCATGCATTTCTGGGGGATACATACAGGAGGTGGGGGGGGAGCACTGCCTGGCAAGCTCAGCTTTGGTAGCTGTTGCCAGTCCCCCAAAGTGGTGGTATGGATTTCAGCCCCCGGCAGGGGTGGCCGGGAGACCCGCTACCACGCACTCTTGCCAATGCTTTGACACCCCCATTTTCAAGCTTGAAATCTTGGAGTCATTTTTGTCCTCTCTCTACCCCTGGGCTCTGCTCTCTCTGGGGCTGGGCGTGAGCATCCCAGAGATGGGTCCGACACAGCCAAGCTCGGGGTGAGCTCCAGGTCAGGCCAGGGAGACTGTCCCATTTACAATGACCACGTAGCAGGAAGAGTTTGGTAAGAGCCTGCCCAGGATTCGTCCCGGAGCTCAGGAGAGTGACATCTGCTGGGAGGGTTGGGGAGGCTCCCCTGAGTACGTGTGCAGGTACGAGTGTGTGGGGCTTTGAAGGCTGTGTGGATCTGCGGCTCCCTAGGAGGCAAGAACATTCTTGGATTAAGCTCTGAGCATCACCTTTGTCCTCTGCTCAGCTCCATTGCTACCCCTGCCCTTCCCTCCTTCCCAGGGCCCGGCCGCAGCTTGTCCTTGTGTCACATTTCACCGTAGCTCCTGCAGCCGACTTCTCCCCGGCTCCTCCCCCCACTGGGGTCAGGTGTCTCTCTGTCCCCCCCACCCCGTCCCTATGTGGTATAGATGTGGCCAGGCCCCCCAGGCCCCCTCTTCCCTTCTAGACCCCAGGCTCCCTCCCCAGGCTCTCATGGGGCCCCTGGCTGCTCTCTTCCTAGCGCGGGCACTGGCCGCACAGGTTGCTACATTGTCCTGGATGTGATGCTGGACATGGCGGAGTGTGAGGGCGTCGTGGACATTTACAACTGCGTGAAGACCCTCTGCTCTCGGCGGGTCAACATGATCCAGACAGAGGTAGGGGGACGCCGTCCTCCCTCCCTGCCCGCTCCAGGATTTGGGTCCTTCGTGGAGGAATTCGGAGCTGGCAGGGTGTGTCAGGGGGTGTCCTTAGAGCTGAGATCCCTGAACTTGGCCTGCCTACCTCTGAGGGTCTTCCCAAAGTCAGCTCCTCTGTGTTCGGCTGGGTGGAGTCAAACAGCCAAGGGGCCACGGTCATAGGTTTTGCAGGAAAGATCCACTGGTATTTGTATCCTCATTACATGTGTGACCCTGGGTTCTCCCCTCACCTTCAGAGCTTCTTATGGGGTATTAGAGGGATGAGACATGAGGTTAGTGAACATATCTATGAAGGTTTCTTCAAGTAGGGTGGGTCCAATCTCTTCTAATACCTAGTTGGACTCCAGCGTCCCTGCTTCAACTTTGGGCTTGCTTCCTGCTGCCATCTCCCCAAAATCTCTAGGTTCTAGTCCCCTCCTGGTTCCTCATATTCTCTCCTCCTGCTCCAGGAGCAGTACATCTTCATTCACGATGCAATCCTGGAGGCCTGCCTGTGTGGGGAGACCACCATCCCTGTCAGTGAGTTCAAGGCCACCTACAAGGAGATGATCCGCATTGATCCTCAGAGTAATTCCTCCCAGCTGCGGGAAGAGTTCCAGGTGGGGCAGGAGTGTGTGTGTGTGTGTGTGTATTGGGAAGTCCTCAGTGCTGTAGGGGTCAGTGAGAGCCAAGACAGAGGGACAGAGTAGGGCTACTGGGAAGGATTTGGAGACAGTGGAGGAGGTGGTCTCTCCAAGTGGTGCAGAGCTCGTGCTTTGAATCAGGGAAGCCCGGGTTCAAGTCCTGGCTCAGTAAAGAGCTGTGAGGAGGCTTGTGAAGTAGTTGTGAGCAGCTCCCCAAGCTTCAGTGTTCATCCAGGAAAGAATGTCAATATTGTCTTTGTAATGTTCATATTCATCGGGATTCTTTTGGTTGCAAGTGACAAAAATCCAGCTTAATGACTCTTGTAACTGAAAAGTCCAAGGATGGTGGAGCTTCAGTTATGGCTGGATCCAGGAGCTTAAATTGTGATGCCACAATGTAGTCTCTGTCCAGTTTGGTTCTGCTCTCCTTTGTTTTCATCTTCTTTCTTAGACCCATACCCTCGCCCCCAGCAGTGTCAGACTCATGTTGTCACTACTGTCAGGAGAATGGAAAAAGGACTCCCTACAGCCCCAACAGAAGTCCTAGATCAGTTTCTCCTGTGCCATCCTTGAGCCAGTCCCTGGAGCCAGAGAGTTAGGAACACATTGACTTGCCCAGGCCTGGTTCTGAGGGCGAAGCCACTGTCTGCATGTCACATGATGGAGATGGGGGAAGGATGGTTCTCCAGAGAAGTCCCAGCATGGTCCATGGGCTGGCAGAGACCCCAGACATTCTCCACACTCCAGGTTCCTGCCAGGGTGCAGCGGGCTGGCCCCTTCTAGACACCCAACACTGGAGAGCCCGCACAGATTGGTGTCATGGGAAATGCTGCCTGTGATCCTTGGAGGCCTGTTGGGGATCATGAGAGACTGGGCTTCCCTGTTAGGGATCCCCAAGGACAAGAGAAATAAGCAGAGACTCCATGGATCAGGCTATAGGAGGCATGAGGTGGAGGAGATAACCCAGAGTCCCAGGTTTGTGCTGTGATGGGTGTCTGGACTTGTGTTCTCTTCAGACAGGGCTGACTGCCTCCGCCAGGTCCCCGCAGTCTGCTTTGTGGGAGATGTGGGACTGCAGCCCTTGTCTGCCTGAAAGCACCTGATAAGCTTGTAGGGATCCTCACTGTGCCTTTTATGTATGGAGCCTTGCATGAGCCAGGAGCAGTGCTCGGACCTTGGCAGTATCTCAATCCTCTCAATAGCCCCTCGAGGCAGGCATATTATTACCACCTTACAGTTGAGAAAAATAATGCTGAGAGATACAGTGGCTTGTCTAAGGTTACACAGGGAGCAAGGAGGTAGACTCTCTGTTCGGAGCTCTGTTCAGAGCCTGTGTGGTCTGGGGTCCCTGTCCTCGCCCCTTTCTCTCCAGACCTCAGTTCTCCATCCACGACATGGCGTTAACAAACCAGCTTAGTCTCCTTCATGGGGCCGTGAGGAGGCCCAGAAAACACTAGAGGTCCACACACCCCTGCCTGCCTCCCCACCTGCTCCTCCGGCCCCCCTCCCCCCCATCCCATGGCTCCTTCTGCTCTCTGTAGACGCTGAACTCGGTCACACCGCCCCTGGATGTGGAAGAGTGCAGCATCGCCCTGCTCCCCCGGAACCGCGACAAGAACCGCAGCATGGACGTCCTGCCACCCGACCGCTGCTTGCCCTTCCTCATCTCCACCGATGGGGACCCTAACAACTACATCAACGCGGCCCTGACGGACGTGAGGGCTCAGTCCCGGAAGAAGGCTCCGGGATTTCTGCGGCTGGCTGGATCTGGGAAGGCTCGAGAGCCCGGGGGCGTGGGAGGCAGCAGAGCCGAGGGCTCTGGTTGGGATGAGGCTGGGATTGGGAGCAGAGTCAGTGCCTGTCCCTGGCCTGGGGCCCTGGGCTGGGCTCTCAGACCCTCCTTCCATGGAGCTGGAAGGGACTTAGAGATGTATTTATTCACAAATATTTATTGAACCCCTACCATGTGCTGGACACAGGCCATATCCCCAAATGTCTGCTCTCCTAAACTTTGTATGTGGGTGATGGCTTGGGACAGTCAGTACACAGAGATACAGTGGCATGTCAGACGCTGGTAATTTTGGCAGAAAGCGACCAGGCAGGAGAAATACATAATGTGGGCTTTGGAGTGTGGGTATGGAGTATTTTTGATGAGACGGTAGGAGGGCCCCTTTGAGGAGGTGACTGTCAAAGAGCAGAAAGAAGTGAGAGGGAGAACTGTGTGAACATCCGGAGATTTGTTCTAGGCAACAGGAATCACAGGTGCTAAGGCCCTGAGGCAGAGAGCAAGCTTGGCTAGCTTCTAAGTACCATGCCCAAGTTCCCATTGCCACACATTGGGGAACCTTTTGCATTTAGTTCCAGAGGCCATGGGCTTGGGGAACAGGGGCCTGGGGGGGGCCTCACCCAACAACTCAGACCTCGGTGTACCAGCCAAGCTCTGAAAAGGACCCCAGAGGCAGCCTGGCCCTGAGGGGAGAGCTATCCAGCTCAGGGTGGGCAGAGCGGGAGGATGGCCTGTGGTGGGGGCTCTATCCATGGTGAGCGGGCCTCTCTGAATTCTGGTTTCCCTGCAGAGCTACACGCGAAGCGCGGCCTTCATCGTGACCTTGCACCCGCTGCAGAGCACCACGCCTGACTTCTGGCGGCTCGTCTACGACTATGGGTGCACCTCCATCGTCATGCTCAACCAGCTGCACCAGTCCAACACCGCCTGGGTGAGGCATCTGCTGCGCAGGGCCTCATGTGCTCCAGGGCACGTCCCCAGGGCCCAGGGGTGGATCCCAGCTGTGCCGCCTAGTTTTCGAGTGACCTTAGATGGGTCCACTCCCTCCCAGAGCCTTGGTTTCCTCATCTGTAGAATGAAGCTGTCAGATTGGAGGGAAGTAGCTGCTTTTTATTGAGCATCTGCTGTATGTCCAGGACTGTGGTTTGCACTTAGGGTCTTCGGGTGAAAAGATTACGACCCAGAGGGCTGGGAAGTGGGCAGAACTGTGCCCCTCCCCCAGGCAGCCTTCTTCCAGTGGGTGGACTCAGCTGCCCACTGTGGGGGCCTTTGAGGCTGAGCTGCACAGGGAGGGTAGAGCTAACCAAGTGAAGACGGGGGAGGAGTGATCCATGGAGAGGAAACAGCATGTGCAAAGGCCCAAACACAAGGAGTGGTGGGATCCCAGGCAAAAAGAGGGAGGTAGTGCCCTCTTTGTGGGCGTGGTCAGAGAGGGATGCCAAAGGAGCATGGAGTCATCTGGGAGGAGCTTGGGGACTGTCTCACAGAGAAATGGTGGGCGGGACCCAGAGGAAGGTAGAGCCTCACCTGGACTCCAGGCAGAGCTGAGGCTAGAAGCTGGGGCTCTGGACCTACTGGCCTGGAGGACTGTCTGTCTGTATATGTGCGTGTGTGTGTGTGTGTGTGTGAGAGAGAGAGAGAGAGAGAGAGACGCCCCTTTCCTCCCTCCGCTGTCTCCAGTCTGGCCTACAGGGGAGGCTTATGTGGGACCCTGACTCCATGGTGGGGTCCTAGGGCAGGAGTGGGGGTTCTGAGCTGTGTTGCCGCTTCAGGGACACCCCACCTCTGTGAGCTGATGCTGGAAGAAAGCAAGGCAGTGAGAGAGAAGGCCGGGGGTAGGGGTGATGGGGGGCAGAGGTGATGGGGTGGGCGGGGATGGTACAAGGCCTATCCCTGGAAGAAGGCGGCTTCCTGCTGGGGTGTGAGTGAGTGTGTGTGTGTGTATGTTTGTCTGTGTCTGTGTGTGTGTTTTAGCTGTGCCCAGCCAGGATGGTCTGTGCACCCTTGAAGGGTTTGTCTCTGCTGACCTGAGTGGGCTGGGGCAGTTGTGTACTGCACTTGGACAGGGAAGTGGCAGAGGCTGGGGGAACTCTGCAGGTGGACTGCCAATGAGTGGGTCAGGGTGTGTGGGAGCCCCAGGGCCAGGGTGGAGGCCTGGGGCAGGCAGTACCAGCAGCTGCCCCTGCCTGGCTCTGCTCAGCACCCCGCTCCGTGTCTGTGTCCCCAGCCCTGTCTCCAGTACTGGCCAGAGCCGGGCCGCCAGCAGTATGGCCTCATGGACGTGGAGTTTGTGTCGGGCTCCGTGGACGAAGACTTGGTGGCCCGTGTCTTCCGGGTGCAGAACATCTCTCGGGTGAGTGACCTGGGTGCCCTGTGGTGAGAACCTGTGTGGTGGCTGGGGGGCAGCCTCACGAGCCCCTCTTGAGATCACCTCGGGGCTCACATTCTCTTCCCCCCTCCCCTTCTCCCCCTCCCCTCCCCCGGCCCGGCTGGCCACCTGTGCCCTCAGCTACAGGAGGGACACCTGCTGGTGAGGCATTTCCAGTTCCTGCGCTGGTCTGCGTATCGGGACACACCTGACTCCAAGAAGGCCTTCCTGCACTTGCTGGCTGAGGTGGACAAGTGGCAGGCAGAGAGTGGGGACGGGCGCACTGTCGTGCACTGCCTGTGAGTGTGGGCCCTGCTCGGGGGGAGGGGTGGAGGCCCAGGCCCAGAGAGGACCTCAAGGCTGCCACTAAAACCCCCTGAGGCTTCCGGATGGCCTTCGCCTAGACTCTGCTCAGCCAGGCAAGGATGGCCCCATCTTCCCTGGAGGAACCCCGTCCATTTCCAGGGTGTGGACTCAACCCTGGGCAACTGCCTAACACCCTCTGTGGGGTGTCTGACCTTGCCAATTTAATTAGAGTCCTGTCCGAATTGTTTACTGCGTGAGACAGTAGCACACTTGAAGCCCAAAGAATTCCAGTCTTTGTTCATGCACACACACATGCAGCTTCTATCATTCGTTCCTTCCCATGCCCCCATTCCTAAATGCGTGTATTCACTCCCGTCTAGGTGCCCTTGCTCCTTTGACCCCCAGCTTCTCATGCTCTCAGTTTATTCCAGGTACACGGATCGGGAGCTGAGTTGGCAGGGCCTGGCCCTCAGCGGCCTTTGGTTCTAGTGGGAGCGACCCCTCAAATGGGGATCAAGGGCATAGTCCATCCCTCATCTCCCCAGGGGAACCCCACCCCCCACTGTTGCAGGGAACAGAGGAGGGAGAAGACAGGGGTTAGGAAGCATCTCTGTGTGTTTGGCTGCTGGTTTGCTATGGAGTGGGCGTGTGGACCTGTGTGTTTTCACCACGTGTTTGTGTTGCTGGGGGTGATTGGTGCTCCCAATGTTCGTTTTCCATCCTGCTCTCTGGGGTTTGCTTGCTTCTCTGCTGCCCCCCTCCATCTCTGTCTTTGCCTCCGTGGCTTTCTCTTGGAGTGTATCTTTCCCTAAGAACCTGCTATCTTTCTCCTGGAGGCTCTCGCCCTAGTTGCCTAGATGACAGTCTTAGCGTCTGAGCTCCCAAACCCCTCCCAACTGGCTTCCCTAAGCTCCGCCCTTCTGAGCTCCCAAACCCCTCCCCCCTGGGTTCCCTAAGGCCCTCCCCTCACCTTTGGGGGTTCCCTGGCCCCTCCCTTCTGGGGCTCCCTGGCTCTGCCCCTCTCCTCTGGGCTCCCAGGCCCTGACCCTCCTTCCTCTTGGTTCCCTGGTGTTCCAGCCCCAGGCCTCCCCCTCTTGAACCCCACCCCAAACCTTATGCTTGTCTCATTTAGAAACGGGGGCGGCCGCAGTGGCACTTTCTGCGCCTGTGCCACAGTCCTGGAGATGATCCGCTGCCACAACCTGGTGGATGTTTTCTTTGCTGCCAAAACGCTTAGGAACTACAAGCCCAATATGGTGGAAACCCTGGTGAGAGACCCTGTCCCGTTGCCCGGCCACTTCCAACTTCCCTGTCCCCGCCTGGCCATGTCCCTCCACACCACTGTCCTCTATGTGGTTCCTGCCATTGGGCTCTGGGTTCTGATCCGGCGGTGCCAAGAGAGTTAAACCCATTTGCCCTTACCCCCAAAGATGGGCTAGGGCTCATGCTTGCCCTCTAGCCCCCCATTCTTCCCTTCTCCTGTACCGGAGAGGGACCAGGCTCATGGGTCCTTCTCTCCCTCTCCCCAGGATCAGTACCACTTTTGCTACGATGTGGCGCTGGAGTACCTGGAGGGGCTGGAGTCAAGATAGCGGGGCCCCTGGCCTTGGCGCTCGCACTGTGCGCTCAGGGCCAGGCCCAGCACGGAGGAGGAACACCTGGACCCCAGACTCTGCTCCACGACAACTCCCGCGGGGAAAGCAGTAGAGTGAGCCGGGGCGTCTTGGTGCCCCCTTCCGCTGTGGGCGGGGCCTCTCTCCGTGTCGGATGGGCAGGCTGCGGGGCCAAGGAGGAGCTCAGCGTCCGCAGCCCAGTCCCCATCCACAGGGCCCTGCAAGTCTGCGCTGTGAGTCTGGCACTGCCTGGTGGAGTGACAGGGGCTCGGGGCTGCTGGCTCGGGAGGACCCAGGCTCAAGCTCCTTGACTCTAGGCTCAAGCTCCTTGACTCTAGGCTCAAGCATCAGACTCTGCCCCAGCCTTTGGCAGAGATGAGTGAGCCCCTGCAGAGCCTGTGGCGGGCCAAGGTTTCCACTCAGCGTGGCTTCCTTTTGACACGGATAGAGGGTGCATTGGGGCTTGGCGTCTGGAATCCCACCTGGCCTTGCCCCTGAGGATCCTGGGGAGACTGGACCCATCAGACTAGTCCTCCCCAGAGGGGACTATGGGCCCCTTCCTCTGCCCTGCTGCCCCCCCTCAGCCCCGGGATATTTTGCTCATGATCCCCCCCCACTATGACTTCTTTGGTGTGCTCTGAGCTTCGAATTGGGATCTTCCCATCATCCCTTTGCCCTTTTCTCCGTGGGGCCTCTTCCCTGCCTGACCCAACATCTGCAGAAGGAAGGCACCTCGGCCCTTCTTGTACTTTTCAGGCCTCACTTCTGGGTCCTGCTCCACCCAGCCCAGTGACAATCTGCAAGGTTGAACAACAGCCCTTGGGGTTGAAGTCTCCATGGCTCCTGGTCAGGCCGCCCCCTGGGGACGGGGCCCTGCTAGATCAGGGGTGCTTGCCACCTCTACAGTTCAGAGGAAGAACATGTATTTTGGGATGGAGGAGAAATTCTTTTTTGTTAATTTTATGATTTTTTTTCATGGGTGGGTGGGAAAATCTCTTTAAAATGGGACAGGCCACACCCCCATTCCGTGCCTCAATTTCCCCATCTGTAAACTGTAGATATGACTACTGACCTACCTCGCAGGGGGCTGTGGGGAGGCATAAACTGATGTTTGTAAAGCACTTTGTAAATAAATGTGCTCTCTGAATGCCACAGAGTAGCTTGTGTGTGTGTGACCAGCCAGTGGGGCCTTCTGCCCTGTCCCCAGCCTCCTAGTGCAGGGAGATGGCTCTGGCTGGGAGGCAGAGTCCTGGGTCCCCTCAGGCCTTGATTTTTCCATTCATACAATGGCCGGGTGTGGATCAGAGCCTTGCTCAGGGGCAGGTCTAGAGAACTCTGTCTATTGCTGCCTCCACCCAGACCTCCGAAGCAGCTTCTCAGGCAGTGGGCTTTCTCCTGAGACCCCCGAGGTCCATAGAGCTGCCTCTCACCCCCAGGGCCTGGATCTGAGTCAGGCTTTTTTGGGGATAGCCTGGGAGGCTCAGGCTTTGGGGTCAGGTGGATGGGCCTCACCACCTGTGAAACTCTGGGTAGGTCAGCTCCCTCTCTGGGCCTTGGTTCCCATCTGTAAACTGGAGATGACCCTGGTAGGATCAGAAGAGGTCATGGTTAAGAGCCTTGCATGGTACCAGGCAAGCCAAAAGGGCTCCGTTTATAAACACACAACAGAGGCAGACACATGCTGTCTCTATGATGGTCATCCCAGCCATTGCCAGCCTCGGGCTTCTGCTAGGGGTGGAGTGGAGGAGGAGAGGGCCGGCTGTCAGGGATCCCAGTCACTCCCGCCTCTGTCATAAACTCGTGTCATCTTGGGCAAGACAAGTTGTGTTTCTGGGCCTCAGTTTCTTCATATGGAACCTGGCTCCTTGATGTACGAATTCTGTTCTCACACTGCCTGACTTCTGGGCCTCAGTTTCTTCACTGGCAAGAGAATACAACCCGTTTCAATGACTTCAGGATCCAACATCTTTTAATCTGAATTAAGAATTTATTATGATCCCATGTAGCTAGGGTATATGAGACACCCCCTCACCCCACACACACTCAGTCTGTATCGACTACTAAGGCTTACATGATGGACACAAATGTCTATCAGCTACTAGCCAAGCAACAGAACATGACCTGCTTTGATCAATAGAAGATGGCAGAAGTGATGTCAGGTGAGTTCCAGATCTTAAGCCTCAAGGGGCTTTGCAACTTTTGCTTTTGTCCTCTTGGACCTCTGTCATGTGAGGAAGCCTGCCTAGCCTACTGGAAGATTTGAGGGCACAGGGAAGAGCCAAAAGAACACATCCCATGAATGGCCAATACCAACCACCAGAGCTGCGAATGGGGCCGTCTTGGGCCTTCCAGCCTGGCAGACCTCTCAGGTGAGTAGAGCTGCATGACTGAACTTAACAGAAACAGCCCAACCAACTGCGGAACTGGAAGAGATAATAAATTTTTCCTTTTTTTAAGCCATAGTTTTAGGATTGTTTGTTATGCAGCAAAAGCTGACCAATACATGCATGTTCTGGGCAGTGTGGGTGCAGCTTTACTCTTTGCCACATGGAGTACTGAGCTTCTAAAGGGTGGGAAGTGTTCCTGCATTCATCCTACTGCATGCATTACCCAGCCAAAGGCAGGTCTTTGTAGCTGGTGCTCTAGAAACGTTGACATGAGAGAGGGAAGGAAGGAGAGAGTGTGGGTCTGTCTGATGGCCTTACATGGCCTTTCAGAGGAACTGGGAAGGCAGGCTGTGTATTAGGAGGAAGGCCGGCTCCAGAATGAGCTGAGGCCCCTCCCCCAGCTCAGCATAGCCACCAGCTGGTGACCTTGCACCTGTTCAGAACCACCCCAGGCTCAGTTTCCTAATCTAGAAAATCGAGATAACAATCCCTACTTGCAGGTAGTCTAGAGACAAAGTGTTTAAAAGTACTAGCATAGTCCAGTAGGGACCTGACTGGCTCTCAGTACATGCCATCACAGGATACTGACGTCCCGGCTAATAAACACGGCCTGCATGACTTTTCATTCGGCCCCCTTACCTCCTTCTAAATCCATACAACAGCTCTTCAAAGTGGGGATCCTGTCCCTTCATTCCATGATGAGGAAACAGAGGCCCGGGAAGGCACTGGGCTCATTCTGGGTCACAGCCATTCTATCGCTGAGGCTCCAGGTCGACCCCACATTCCGCTGACTCCCAGCCTGGGCCTCTCACTGTTCTGCTTCGTGGCCGCTCTGGGTGCTGCTGAAAGCTGGAGGGCCCCTTGATGCGGCACCAAATGGCTAATTCATGGCCTGGAACGTTGATTTTCCAACGCTCTGCAACGTGTCGGCGGGGGTGGCCTCTTGGGACAGGGTGGCCGGAGGAGGACGGATGGTCCAGCCTGGCTCTGCCTGGGACAGCTGGCCTTGCAGGTGTGGGGTAGAAGCCTCCCACCGCCCATCCCTGCAGAAAGTGTTTCTAGAAGTGCAGACAGGCCAGCTGTCTACTAGCGCTGAAAGCTGAGTTTGCTTCCCGCGTCATCATAAATCCAGCTGTGGGAGCCGGCCGAGGCCATTATGACTTCTCACGGCCTCCGTGGCTGCCCCTGCCTGGAAGATGCTGTGTATCCCAGGTGCCGGGGAGACGGAGTCTTGGCGGGGATGGACGTGAAAGCCGCCTGCATGGCCCTCACTGACAGCAGGCCATGCTGGGGACCCCTGCTGACCCCCACCCCCCATTCTGGCTGGCCTCGGATGGCTGGGGCCTAGGGCCAGGCCGGGGTCCCGGGGTCCGTGCTGGGGCGGAACCCACTTCGCCATATGGTGCGAGAGCAGGGACTCTGGAGTCCACGGACTGGGCCAGAGGGCCTCCTCCTCATGGGGGCAGGGGGGCCGTCCTCCCCTTTGGTGGGCCTCCATGCCTCCTCTGAGACGTGGGAGGAGAAACAAACAGGCCCGCGGCGCTCCCAGGGCCGGGGGGGCTGGTCAGTGTGGATGGGGGCAGGGAGCGCTGGTTTCTGCAGGTGTCTGCGGGCTACATTGCAGGGGTGGGGGTGGGGGTGTGGGGTGGGGTGTGGGGGTTGAATGGTGAGGGGGGGTGTGGGGCAGGGGTGGAGGAGGATGAGGGCTCTGGATGGGGTGAGGGAGCAGAGCGGGGCTTTGTCTGGCGCTCACCAGGCCCAGGGCCAGTTGCCAAGAGCCCCGTGTGGATGGTCAAGTCTCAGCTTCCAGTGAAGCCGCTGAGGTCGGTACTGGCATCCCCATTGTACAGATGGAGAGAGCGAAGCTTAGGGAGTCTGTGACTTGCCCAGAGTCACAGAGCCACCAGGTGTCACACAAACCACAGCAGCCACAGCGACTGTCTGGAAAAACTAAGCCAGATCACATGACTCGCCTACTCAGCCCCTCCAGTGACCTATGGCTCTGCGGGGGTGAAGGCTGAGTGGCTGGCCATGACCTCCAAGGCCCTGCCCGACATGGCCTCGACCCTGCTTCCGCCCGTGTCCCTCCTGCCCGCTCCTCTGCCCGCTCTTCTGCTCGCTCGGGCCTCGTTTCTCTTCCTCCACCCAAGCTCTTTGCCTGGATGCCCTTGGCCTCCCTCTGCTCAGCTGGTCCTTCTGGGTGTCTGGGTCCAGCTCAGACAGTGTGTCCTGGAGAGGCCCTCCTTGAGTGCACTGAGCTGGCCTCCCGCCCCACTGTCCCTGTCACTCTCAGGACCTTGCCTGTGTAGGCCCCTTGTGGCCTTCTCCCCGTGGGTGACTGGCTGGCTTTTCATTGGTTGGTTGTTCCTTGCCTCCCCCGCCATTGTGTGAGAGGGCAGGGGCCAACTCCATCTGGTCCCCCTGTGTCCCCTGCACAGTGACGATTTGTTGAGTGAATGACAGGTGCAGAGCTGGGACTCAAGCTCTCTTCCTCGGAAGCCCATCCTCCTAAGCATGCTACTTTTAGTCTTGCAGATGGTATGCCATGGAATCGGGTTCCGATGCTGGCTAGGCCTCCACTATGCTGTGTGG